GGGCCCCGGCTTGGCCTGCCCGCGTTATGGGGCCCGGCTTCTCCTTGGGTAAGTGTTCAGTGTGGGGGTAACACAGCTAAGCCTCCATGTGCCTGGGGAGCTGCACCATCCATGGTATGAGCAGATCGACACCTTCTGGTGCATGTGGCTTCTCCATGCTTGCTCGCTTATAGAGGCATTGTCTGTTCCCCTCAGTCCAGCTGTCTCCCACAGCCTCAGATAGCCTGGTCTTTGGGCTCTGCAGCTGGCAGATGGGGCGCCCCTTTGGGAACTGTTCTATCTAACTGATTTCTGTCAGGAGTTGAAAAGTTATGCTTTCAATTGGTAACCAAAATTAAGAGGTAAAAGTCAGCTCTTCCTCTCTCTGAGACAGGCTTGTAATCGTGGAGGCCTGTTCAGAATGACCTTGGAGTTTCTCCTTGGGAAGAGCTGGGGAGCAAGGGCAGGAAGCACACCTAAGTGCTATGACTGAGCAGTTCTAAGAGCCTTTAACACAGGCTGTGCTTCAGAAAACTCTGATGGGCACTTCTTCTATGAGGAGAGGCCAAGAGCTGGGACCCTTCAGCCTGGAGAAGAGAAGGCTCGGGGCGGGAGGGGAGGGCTCTTAGTAATATGTATAAATACCTAAAAGGGAGGATATAAAGAAGAGAGAAGCAGTCTCTTTTCAGTGGTGTCCAGTGATGAGACCAGAGGCAATGGGCACAAACTGGAACATAGAAGGCTCCATCTGAACATCAGGAAATGCTTTTTTCACTGTGAGGATGACGGAGCATGGGAGCAGCTTGCCCAGGGAGGCTATGGAATCTCCATTCTTGAAGATATTCAAAAGCCATCTGGATGTGGTCCTCATGGCCCTGCTGGAGCAGGGGTGTTGGACTAGATGTCCTCCAGGGATCCCTTCCAACCTCAACCTTTCTGTGGTTCCTTTACTTGGGAGTCCTTGGATAACAGCCTTTGCTGTGCAGGCAAGCAAGCTGTATCATAAAGGCCAGGAGGCGTTTAAATCAAGGACCCACTAGCCTTGTCATGGCACACTGACATGTTTGCTTCTACCGTTAGGGAGCAAGCCCGTAAGACGCAAGACCAACAACAAAATCATGGCGACATCTGGTGGAACTGGCCGCTCTCCCCTCAGCATCCTACAAGATGATAATTCCCCCAGTGCTCCTACCCCTCGCCAGGTAAAGCTTAATAAGTCATACCATGGGAGGGAGAATGGGCTGAAAAAAGCCCAAATCCTTCAACTTCTATATTTTGTAGGGCCCCCAGTTTGGAACTGTGGCCTCCTAGGCCTGTAGAACCTGTTAAGTATTTTTCTGTAGGCCAATCTTGTCCCTAGATGCCTCCAAGTCTTGCTCAGTGCCTGTGTCTTTGGCCTTACCATGATATTGCCCATTTCAGTGCATCCTTTCTCTGTAGGCTGTAGAAAGAAGTCCATTACTCTTGGACATTGTCACAAGAGAGCCAAAGCTGAATGGCCTGAAAATGGGCTATGTGTTCCACTGAGAATTAACTAACCCTCAATTAACTTGTGTTTAACACTGTATGTTTTGGGTTTTCATTTCTCTAGGGTAAGAGGCATGTGTTGGGAGAGAATGTTGGGGAGAAGGAAATGACAGTGGATCTGAGCAGAGGCTTCAAATCTGGGAACTGTGCTTGGAGAGACTTGAACAAAGAGAACCAACAGTGTCCTTTTGTGGAGAACTAGACTTCCTTTTCCAGAATATTGCTGTAATTTGCTTCCATGTTTTGGGAGTCTTCTAGGGGTGAGGAATCCTGCAATAGACTGAAACACCAGACTTGTGGTCACTCTTCTTGCCTATCCCTGTTGGGGAAAGGGGAAAGAGCACACTCTCTCTCCTAGCTTTGCATGTTTTATGTACAGTACAGACTTTGACTCTTCTATTGTATATCAGCTGTATTGGCTTACTGTAGAGTTCTTATCTGTAGCAAATAAATCTGTATTAAACTTTTGCTGATTTTTATATATATGTCCTGATAGGACAGTAGGAGTCCCCTGCTCACCCAGTGCAATGTTTTCTCTGGGGATAAGGGTTCAGGAACAAATAGTTCAGTCTTCAATTAGTCCTAAAACTCAGCTCTGTCCCCTGCCTGTAACATGCTACTGTAGAGCTGTGCTGAGAAGGGTCGGGCCTTGAACCCATGTACTATAGTGTGGGCTGGGAAGCTGCAGCTCTGTGCAGGAGACTGATGTATCTAGTGTCACTTCTGGAGTTCTGCTGCACCTACACTGTCCTGAAATGAATGTATACAAAGGACTGTAGCCTATTATAAGGGTCTGGCACGAGGGTGAGATCCAAAACAGGATGAGACAGTATTGTGTGTTAATATTGTGACCTTCTGTTGATAAGTCACTACACCTTGCTGACCTTCAGCTCTCCCTAGCAGAGCCTTGGGACCCCAGGATGTCACTATGAGCCAACGAGTCAAATAAAGGCTGAATATAATGGCTGTGTCTTGTAACTGATCTCAAATCTCAAAGGTTTGCAAGGATGCATTTTCAGCTCTCCCAAATCTAGGGCAGCAAGCCTTGGGACTAACAGCTGCTTCTCAACTAAAACAAGGAACACCCTCCCCTGGGGACTTTGAGGTAGAGCAAGGCCTGCAGATGAGATGTCTGGATGAGGTTAGCAGGCAGTGTTTACAGGAGGAGAGTTATGTTTGCAACAGCTCATTGCAATGCTGGAAAGAACACAGCCTGCAGTGCTTATGTGAGCTTTCTTTATTTACCTGGGCTATGAAGATCTATAACAGACTTGAAAACAGGGGCTGATGGCTACTGGTTAGACAGGGTCACCACACAACTCAGGAGTGAGGCAAAAAGAGAAGGAACAGCAAGAAGCAAACAATAAATAAGAATAAATATAGTATTCCTTGGTGTTCTGGCAGGTCTGAAGGCTACCTTTCCCTCATTTATGCATAGACAAAACTTGAGCTAAGTCTTTCCCAATGGAAAATGAGCCCGGTTTACACTAGCTTTTTGTTTGAGGTTGCATGATAGAAATCTCAAACCCAGTACATCTCTGAGGCTGTCTGCAGGGATATAGGACAGCTGCACAGAGAAACTAGGTAGAGTTAAATCAGGGACAGAGCTTAGTTTGGGACAGAGGTATTGGATGACAGGTGCTCTGAAGGATGGGTGTCAATGTGGGTAGAGGTGTTTGAAGGAAAATGCAGGGTGTCTGAACTGTACTGTAAAGTCCTGAGACATAATGAACAGTGTTCTGCAGGTCTTCAAGCCTGCATGAGGCTAGAAACTGCTGGGCCTGTTTAGAGGTGGAGAGAAGGGCCAGTATGTGTCCTCCTGCTCCCCAGCTCCCCCTGCTCCCCCTCCCCAACCTCTCCTTTCCCTTTCAGTCTGGGAGACCCCTACAAGTGACCTGTGTCTAGAGACAAGCGGGAGTGGTAGGTAGGCGTTTCTGTTGTGCTCAGCTGACGATGCTCTTTGCATGGGCTTGGGCTGTGGGCCATGCTTCGCTGCTCT